TAAAGGTTTGACTACTTGAAAGTCAAACCGTAGGTGTGAATGAAATTGGCGGTCTTTGAAAGAGTTGAGAAGCCTACATGTAAAGGTTTGACTGCTAGAAAGTCAAACCGTAGGTTTAGAGAAGTTTCGAATGACTTTAAAACTCTAAGTGTAAAGGTTTGACTACTTAAAAGTCAAATTGTGGGTGTGAATGAAATTGGTGGTCTTTAAAAGAGTTGAGAAGCCTACATGTAAAGTGTTGATTGCTAGAAAGTCAAACCGTAGGTTTAGAGAAGTTCCGGATGACTTTAAAACTCTAAGTGTAAAGGTTTGACTACTTGAAAGTAAAACCTTGGTGTGAATGAAATTGGCGGTCTTTGAAAGAGTTGAGAAGCCTACATGTAAAGTGTTGATTGCTAGAAAGTCAAATCGTAGGTTTAGAGAAGTTTCAGATGACTTTAAAACTCTAAGTGTAAAGGTTTGACTACTTGAAAGTCAAACCGTAGGTGTGAATAAAATTGGCGGTCTTTGAAAGAGTTGAGAAGCCTATGTTTTTAAAAATTTTGCCGGCATAACAACTATAAAATGAATATTTCCAAATGAATTAAGCTTAATGTTTGCCCAACAATTGACAACCCAACTACAAATATATATAATCAAGCCTAATGTAGTCAATGATTAGATAACCAGAGTAGCAAACTATCGCTTGTAGCTCTTCAATAACATCAAAGATTATGTCAAGTTCTGCAAATTTGTAATTTGATGGAATCAAGTCAAAATGATTACATGTTCTCCTTGCATTCCTTTCTGGTGGTATTTTGTAGAAGCTCGTGAATGGTTCTCCTTCATCTGTCTCCTTTGCGTATGTTTGTTTGTGTTACTTAACTTGTTATTTACGAAAGCGAAATGAACGAAACCGGGTAAAAAGGAATTGTGAAATATATTTCACATATTAATGAACGACTCAACTATTGTTCATGTTCATCCATTTAACTAAACAAACAAAAAAAACGTGATCATGTTCGTTCTTTTTTAAATAAATAAACATAAAAGAACTTCCCGCCGAATGCTTCTTTGAACGTTCGATTTGTTTGCAGCGCTACAAGTTAGTGTGGATAGGAAAAAGGGATTTCACAACAGATCTCAAACAAATAATATTTTTTTAACTATTAATAAACAACAGTTCACAAACAAATATTTTTTTAACTATTGATGGCCAAGAATAATAAAAAAATAATATTTTTTTAACTATTGATAAACAACCGATCACAAACAAATATTTTTTAAACTATTTTTTTAACTTTTCATAAACTCACATAATCACACTCTTCGTTTTACATTACAGTGTTACATAATCACATAAACAACAGTTTTACATTACATAATCACACCCTTCGTTTCACATAATCAGATGAAATCTCTCAAAACAGTTGGACAAACTCAAACAAAATCGTACCTTAACTGCAAGGGGACGGTGGTGCTCGCAAAGGGGACGGTGAGGACGGCGGTGCTCGCAAAGGGGACAGCGGCGGTGGTGGTTGCAAACGGCGCGGCTGTGGTGGTCGGAAAGGGGTCAGCAGCGGTGGTGGTTGGCGACGGTGAGGACGGCGGGGGTCGGCGACGGTGACGACAGTCGTGCTCGCAAAGGGGACAGCGACGGTGGTGGTCGAAAACGGCGCGGCTGTGGTGGTCAGAAAGGGGTCAGCAGCGGTGCTCGCGGCGTGTGTAGAGCTCTACCTCAAATCTGACAAATGGAAAACATTTGTATCTGAAATGGAGGCGTGACCTAAGTTAGATTTGTTTAAAAACATCAGCGACGGATTCATTCCATCGCTAAAAAGTTTATTTTATTATTTAATTTATTAAATTACTTTTTTAATTACTAACTATAAATTTAATTAATTATTAAATTATTAAATTATGAAATCGAATAAATCCCATTAAGGCCCAATAAAACCGAACAAAGCCAGTTATCGAGTCCTAATTGACGGGATTCGGTTTTATTGGGCCTTGATGGGCTCTATTCGGTTTTATTGGGCCTTAATGGGCTTTATTCGGTTTTATTAATTAATTTTTGTAATATTCTAATAAATAATAAATAACTTAAAATTTAATAATCAAT